AATACTGTTAATAGCTGGTTAAAAAAAAGAAAAAAGTTATTACAAGGAAGTGGGCTAAAAGGGGTTCCCCTAGGAGCACTGGGCAGAAATAATTGAGGAAATCTATATGATAGAAAAAATGAGCAAATGCTTAAGAAAGCAGAAAGCACAGATGGAGGAGAAGTGGGAGGAAATGTACATTATTCTTTATGACGCAATGCAGCGACAAGTACGACGGAAAAGAGAACTGATTTAGTGGAGGATACGGGAAGAACGGACAGAGTAATGGAAACATGACGCCAATGATGTATTTATCTATTCATTCATTTTACACTTTAATTATTTGCTTTAGTTTCATGCAAGGTATACCTGTCTGTCTTCACCAGCATTGGTATACAGAGAATGTCAAGGTGAAAACAGCGGTTATAATTCAAATGAATAAAGAAAGTGAAACAAAACTGAATCATTCTGCATATTTGTTTTAACTAATCTGCAACAGTCAAACAGCTTTCTGTCCAGGTCCACTACCCTTCTGGTTTGAGCACCTGTAGAACAAATCAATGCTGACTTGAGACTCATCATTATCTTTTGAATGTCTACCTTTACCTCTGATTATTGCTTTTATTTGTTTTATTTTAATCATTAGTAAGAAGATACAGAATGCTAAATCAAAGCACACTTTTTATGCATTCTTCTCCGTATGATAATCTTGTTGCCCTTCTGTTGGTAGTCTCATCAACTGAAGGTTCAACCAACAAAAGTTGCTAATTTTTGACCATTGTTTGTTGTGCTTTGGCTCGAGCAGCTCCTGTGCGGTGAACATTTAGTGGGCAAACACAACCGGCAATCAGCCTTGCAGAGCACTTTCTTTTCGAGCACATGCTGCTCTTTGCCTGCAGTTCCCAGATCTGTCACTGGAACAAGCACCGGGAAATAACAAAACTCTCCAGTACACACGGAACTGTTAATCACCAGGCATCCGTCGCCTACTGCTTTCAAGGCCTGTTTGACTTTAAGTAAACACATGCAGGAAATGTTTCCAGTGGCTCTAAACATTTATACGGAGGCCTTGTGCATCAAACTGCTTCATGGCCTGCACATCTTTCAAGAAGGTGCCTACACGTTTCTCCTGGGTCTTCTTGTGTTCACACTGTTGTAGAATATTGTGCAGCGGGCGAAAGCAAACATCAACTCAGAGCTGTCCTTACGCCATTACATCACAGCCTCCTTTTCCCACTGCAAAGGTAAACATATGACATGTGTACTGGTCTCCCTTTGCATTGTGGGATGGCTCCATTACAGCAAGTAGGAGGTGCTTATTAACCTATCAACAAAATGAGTCATGGATTGACTTAGAGCAGCAAGAAGGTCAAACTGAACAAACCAGTTGTTGAACCAGTAGAGATTTGTGCTGATTATGAGATGTAATGAACATTAGAGGTGGAAAAAAAATAAATGTATGTAAAAATCGAGATGCTTCTCTTCTAAGATTAAAAGCTAGCTGTTTAACTCAGTAGAATGCCAAATAGAGCAACACAGAATGCAGCCAGTCTCACAGATGACTGGAGAAGATCCTGAAGTACTAATTCATAAATAGACTCTGAAACCATGGATCAATGAATCCAGAATCGTTTGAATCGAAAACCTATTCTGAATAAAATCGTGACCCCAAGAGTCGAATCGAATCGTGAGACACCCAAAGATTCCCAGCCCTAATGAACATTCTCACTGCAAGCCGGCTGAAATCGACGATTTGTTTTCCTGCATCAGAGTGCGATTGCTGCGTTCAAAATCAAGAGGTAACATCTGGTGTTGAAAAATGAAGCCAATGCAGACATGCAAAAAAAAATGCAGTTCCTCAAGTATCCACTTGAGGTTAGCTCAAAAGAACCTCATGTCACATACACACTTCCTATAAAAGTATCTATTTTGACAGCAGAAATAAACATCTCTGCAGCCTTGTACAAAAAACAATTTTCAGTCAGAATAGCTCATGTCTTTCTTTGGGACATGCTGTGCTGGGGGGAAATGTATTTTAAACTCATCCGTTTGGATTTTATGAAGGATAAGAGTTATTTATAGAAAGGGACGTGGCTGATCTGACTGACTGACAAGCTTGTTGCAGCTGTTGACCAGGAGGCTTAAGACTCGCCTCAGCTCCAGATCTTTTCCTGTTACGAAAGGTTGACTGAAAGTTAGTTTGAGACAGCATTTCCAATATGGCAACCGCCAATCGATTGGGCTTCAAAAGTCTGCTTCAGTAACCAAGGGGTGACGTCAGACTACGTCTATGTAGTCTATGGTTCAAATATGCTCTAATAAACCGGGCCAAGGAGGGAAATGCCCCCCGTTTCTGAACATCTTCTCCAAACGTTCCAGTTGTGAAAGCCCCCACCGAGTGTCTGTACATTCTAATGTACACGTTTGGCAAGTTCTACTCTGACCTATTTTGAAGGCTGCATACCAATACAGGTAAGGAGGTAAGACTGAAAGAAAAAAAACGATTTAAAACCTGAATATGTAAAAGGTTTGATGAGTTCATGAAAGCATTACAGAAATCATTTTCTGAGTTGCTGGATAAGTAAGCTCTCGTCTCTTCCCTTCCCCGTTTCTCCAATTTCATCTAAAAGAATATCCTTTGTTAATCTGGTCTCAATGAGCACCGTTGTTAAGTGCTGCTCACTCTGCACTCCCAGCCAGTCATAATCCATTGTGTTGCTTGCCCCTCGCTCGGTGTGCATTTCCATAGAAAATTCCAATGTGAACAGTCAATAAAACAGATGTGGCCATTGTAGAAGCCTCACTTTTTAATTCAGAAGAATGTTGTCCACTACTGCGCCCCTGGGAAATGTTCTGCACACAAAATGTAATATCTTTATAGCCAGAGAGCACACACTTTAAAGTTATCGGTGGTATGATTATTCAACGTTTGACTTAATTTAAATACACTTGTAAAGAACTCCCTGCAGTGTAAATGCTGGATTGATGCGGTTTAAATGCATTCAGGGGAATTTCTGCACCGGCTGCTGTTCTGCTTCACCCAATCATCATGAGATGTGAAAAACATATTAACCTCAGGGTTGTTACAAACATGTACGCCAGGACTTCATTTCCTTCTCTCCATTTTGCCGCACTCATCAGTTTTATGTAGAACACACTTCTCCAGAGTCAACATCAGTAAAAATGAAACAGAACATGATAATGATGCTCCCTGACCTCTTTTAGACAGTCAATATAATCCATGATGTTGTTGTGTCTTATCATGTTCCACTGATGTGCTGCACCTAGCAGAATGAAAACTAAATACATGGAAAATAAAACGGATAAATCAAGCTTTATATTAGCTCTTTAAATCATGGAAAATCTACTTTTCTTTCATGTGAGAGTCATGCTGAAGCAAATACAGTTGCATGACATGTAGAGGCTACCCTGTGCCCAGTGATGACAACAAAATGAACTGACAGAACAATCATCGCTGCCCTTTTATGGCTATACTGGAAAAAAAAAAATTACATTGTTTATTTTTCCATCAAGCATCTCGAGCACATCCAGAGCAGGAACATCTGCAAGCTTTCACCATGTTGACGTTATATTAAAAAACGCTGCTTGGGAAATAATTCACAGTCTGGATGCTGAACTCCCTCATGCCCAATGAAAGAAAACTACTCGACGTATCTCATATCTCTCCGGCTGCGCCCCTTAACAGATGCCATGCAGGAAGTCAGTCCTATCAGCCCTGGCAGGCACACAGAAAGTCCTGCTGTGCTTCACAGTTTAGTTTCCCCACTCTATTATCTTTCTAAGGCTCTGTTGTTGAGGCATGAGAACTATGTCTTTATATTGTTTCTGTATCCTTATGAAGACTCACAAAATGTACTAAATGAACATTGATCATACAGAACAGTTCCTAAAGATGGGGGTATGCGAGTTTAAGTCAATGTTTGAAACAAACAAAGAGAACACAGCCCTCCCTTCAGAAGTTCTGTGTTCACTGTGCATTCATGGATTCACATTGCAAGGGAAACCACTAATACTGACTCTGCACAGTCTGCTACACTATGTAGGTGAGCCTCACACAGTGAAGAACCGGTCATCACATTGTGGTCTCTTCCTTGTGCATGTAGACCAGGAACAAGGAGAGTAAAGCCAGCAGAGGTTTTTTTAAGTGTTGTGGATGAAAGCTAACTGTTTATATTTCTGGACTTGCCTGGTGAAGCTATCTGTTGGCTACTTTATTGATTGTAAATTTCAAAAGCAGGGGCATCAAGGTTTTTTCTCAGTACACAGTACAGACAGTTTCCAGATCATGAACTGACCGTTACTAAAAAGGAAAGTAAAGGCTACTGGATTGCACAGCACACTTCCCTTTACTCTTTTGTCAATACAACCCCTTTACAACCACCGTTCAAAAACAAGTAGTTGTCAGTTCATGTGACAGATAAAGAAGACAGAGTAGACGCTGTGCGTATAAAATGGGTTAAACAAGCCGCATATAGCATCCCTGGATTTGGATCAGCTGCACAGAAGAGGTGCTGACAAGTTTGCAGCAAATGCAAAGCATCCCCATGGCCCAATGACCCCAAAAAAACCCATTTCCTCTGAATAGATTGCTTCACAAACAAGCTTTGTGATCCAGTAATCTACTTCTAAGGCACTCTTTAATCAACAAAATCTGGAATCAAAAGTAATGCTCTCATCTTACAAATATTTCCCGACTGGTGCCATTTGGTCTGGATTAGGTTGTGTAGTTAGGCTGGGAAGAGACTTAGTTGTGTGTTTTTTTTTTTTTTTTCAAGAATCACAGCAGAGTAATTGTTGTGTACAAACATAGTAAACACCAAAGATAAACTAGCTCTCAGTTTAGCAGCAGATTAGCATGTTCCTCACCCACACAGTCACAGCACCTGTCACAATCTTCATCATGTCTCATTATTATCATCAAATCACCATTATGATGATCTTTGACCCTCACCACCACCACCATCACCATCACCACCAACTGGGATCTTCCCAGAACTCACCGCTATGCGCGTGGAGATCTTCTGCTCGCCCTCGGCACCCTTCTGCTCTCCGTTGGCCCTGTTGTACTCTGGTGGTTGCTGGTTCGACCCCCTGCTGCCTTTAGCCTTCCGGTTCCCTGGTCCTTGTTGGACTATGTTGAGCAGGTGGAGGGTGCTCTCGTGTTCCCGGTCCGAGTTCTCCGCCTGTCCCCGCTGGTAACGGTTCTCGCAGGTGGAGTGGTGCCTCCTGCACAGCTCGATGCGGGCGCGTAAACGCTCCACGATGGCGTTGTGCAGCTGTGGCACCGCGGAGCCTCTGTTGGTGGCGACCACCGGCCCGGCGCCCACCCCACCGGGCATAGCTCCTAAACCGACACCCAACATTGGTACGAATGCTCCTGCAGCTGCCTGGGCAGGGGTCGCTTCTCCCATGCCCGCTGGTCCACGACAACTTTAAATCCACTGAGCTTATAATGGGACCACAGTAGTACGGGCATGGAAGGAAACAAGACGTACGGACTCGGCTATGATCCCATGTGCAAAGAAAAAAAGACTACAGTTCACACAGTCAAGTCAGAGAGAGAAGGTTTGATAGTTGATAAAGAAATGTTGTACAAAAATCTTGTCAAACTGATATGGTAAAATTAAAAACAATAGTCTATAAAAAGGAGATAAGGTCAGACTTTGTTCCACCAGAGGCAATCCAAAAGTCCTAAATGTTACAGAATGTTTTAATGTCTTTCTCTCTCTCTCTCTCTCTCTGGGGTGTTACCACGTCAGCCTCTAATTAAAACTAAAATGATTTACTAACACAAGAGGCTCATGGATTCTCAGCTGGAATAAATCCACTCTTGCTTAACGACTCGACCTCTGCTCACAGATAAATTATATTCAATATGAAACACCCTGGGATGATTCAAAATCATAGCACGCACAACTTCAGTCTACATCGGGGGGCTTACATCCCCGGAACATCGTCAGCTTACTTTTTTTTCCTTAAACGTGCCACACTCAGGCTGCTGGATTGTAGATAATGAAAAAAAAAAAAAGAATAGACTGAAGTAAAGTGAGCGACTGATCGCCAATGATAGCAGGATCTACAAGAACACAAATCCACCAAACTTCAAGACTCACGGCATTTTTTGGTGTTTGGAAATGAGTCCTTATTCTCTCTGTGTCTCTCTCTTTCCGCCCGGATAAGAAGAAAGCTGGCTGCGATTACAAGTCTGAAAATCCGCGCAGCTGAAGCACAGGGAGCCGTTTCATGAACCCATAGAGATCCGTCTAACATAGTCCATTGACAATCGTTTGTCCGTGTGGTGCACCGAGGCAATAGCGGAACTACAATACACAGAGCCTCATTGTACGAACATTCCTCTTTTGACATGATACACTCATGTGGGTGCAGCGGGGTCCTACAGCACCCTCTGGTGGAGAGAAAGGTGAACTGTCCTGCGAGGCTGTAACAGGAGGAAGGTCAGCAAAATGTTAGTTACATCTTAACGTATTATAAATCGATGTACATAAAAGTACAAAATAGAGCAATGGCAGATTAAGAAAAGATTATTTTGCTAATGATTGGTATATTTTATAGACATCACTGCTTGTGATTACTAAACTGAAAAGAACACTAATTGAATAATAGATGATACTCAAACTTGATTAGTAACATGGACAGTTCCACAGATTGTCAGGTCCACATTAAATAAACATTTCATCCAAAAAGTTAACTTAAACTTCTGGGGTTTTTTTTTGTAGTACAATTATTGTTACCATGTTGCAATCAGGTCAGTTTACAACTAAAGTTGCATAGTATAACATTGGCCATCACATATTAAGGCGACAACAAGAACATTGAATTAAAGACCACACTTACTCATCCACTGAGGCATGTGTTGATGAACATTGGGGCGACAAAGGCAATCAAAGACAATCACAGAGAAAGGATGCTTGTTTTCTGTAAAGCAAAATGGATAGCAGCCTGAATATGCTCAGTCCACGCAGAAATATCCAGAGAGGGGCAGGGGTAGATGATGAGAGAGATTTATAAAATAGAAAAAGGAGGTCGTTAAACGCACATCTCTGCAGGGCAGTGCAAGAACAGAGTGAGGAAGAAGTTTTAATTCATCACAAATGTTGCGACTGTGATGGATTAAAACTGTTTGTGGCATTTGAGCGAGCCTGCAGGCTTATTTCCAGAGCCTATATTGTGTAAAGAAGTTTGGGCAGTTTTCTGTGCCTACAGCCAGAGGAGACCCACTAATGAGGGCCAATACTGACCTTTAGCAGACACAGTATCACTGATATCCAAGAGAAAGTAAGGTCAGTCTGCAGGAGTTGGATTAAAGGAATATGCTTTGCATTACTCATTTATTTTGTTTTTTTAACACAGCTTTTCATAACATAGCCAACTAATCTGAATTTAGGGCTTAAGTTGACTCAGACATTTTTAGCCGACCTTTTTTTCCTGTATGGAGAAATGACATATTAGTCACTGCATTCTTTTGCCTGATAATGTGATTTTAAAGCACTATAACAGTCACTGAACTGCTTCATGACATCCAGATACTCCAGAGAAATGAAATGATAGCAGTAGCTTTGATTAGTAGTCAGTCATGATGTATTGAATATATCAACTTGTGATTTAAGTGAAAATGCAGGTGGTTCTTTTTCCTGTGCACAAAAAAATACAGATATGGGGGAAGCACTGCAAATCTGTTCATTTTGGTATCAAATGACCTTTAGAGAAACAAGAGCAAATACAGTCACAAACCAGACATTTGTTTTTTAAACGTAAATGGCTGATCCCTCTTTTGAAGCATCAGTAAGTCGCTTCTATGTGATGCATGCGCTGTCCCACACAACAGAGGGCAGCAGACGTTTCACTACAGAACATTACAGCATCAATTAAGAATGTGTGGGTGAGAGATGAGTAATGTTGTTTAAAGAGGAGCCCGGACAGCAGTGGTTCACTTCTTGATTTATTCTATGTCCACAGGTTTTTAGTCTACCATTATACAGGAAGAACAAAGTATTGTTTTCTTGTGTATCCCAAATGAACTGTACCACATCACCATCACTCCGGCATCTTTTGTAATATTGCTTCACACAAATCAAGACAGCTTGCATACATCAATGTTAGTAGAGAGAAGGTTTTCCTTATTTGGTTTTTGTTTTCCTTTTTACAAGAATCAACTCCAAAACGCACAATAAATTAATAAATTAACACACAGGCAATCTGCAAATGCTTTACAGTAGTAGCAATATCAGTGGTAAAAAAAACAACAACAACGATATCAACTAGTACAGTACGTCAACCCAGTGACAGTCCGACAGTAGATCTGAGCAGTGTTTTCAATCTGGCCCAGTCAAGCTGTCATTGAACATACTAAAAACTCACAATCTACCACAACACATACACAGCTCTTCTGCTTACGACAGGTCTCCCTAGATCATAAATTACACATCCATTTCACTTCAGAGACTGACGAGGAGACAGGCTTTTCTTCAGTCTTTTCTTCCCTCTCTCACTCTTTGTGAATCACAGTCCACACAGGAAGGCTTTGCCAGTGCGACTCAAACTACCAGCCTTCCTGTTTCATGACTAGATCACAAAATTCAACCTGGAAATTTGAAAGAAAAAAAGAAGAAGAAAAAAAAAAAAGGAAATAAAATACAAGATGTAACAAACGTAGCTTAATTTAGTCTGACCTGACCCTTGGGGATATCTCTTGCTTACACCTATCAGTAGAAAAGAATCATAAAAAGAATACAAAAAACTGTAAAAATGGTAGAAAAACATTAAGTCGGTAATCTCAACAGAATAATCACTAACACCATCTAGAACTGCATGGCCACACTTTTCATATTAAGATCAAAGGGATTCACCCTTTCAGTGGTTCCAGCCCACAGTGAAATACTGGACTTAGGTTGAGCTAGAAACTGAACATTCAGTTTTCCTAAATACAATATGGCTCCTATTGGGAATAATATTTCCAAGGCAAAAATGTACATCTCAACTGACATGAAAATATAAGGCAAATGAAACAAAACAGAACAGTTCAGGAACATGAAGACAAACATCCATTCTCAAACTCATTTTGCGTGACAAGGATCACTGGCAAATCTTCATTGTGGCAGGTTGCCTTTGCAAGAAAAGCACATTTTGTACACCACTGTAGTGCACTTTTTTTTTTGTCTCAGACAAGTGCATCAGATTTCTAACAGTCAACAAGATGCGCTGCAAATATGTCATTCTATTAATAATTTACATACAGGAAACAATTACTCCTCAGAGACTTCGCTGTAGTGTGTGGCATATCAAAGAGCAAAGACATACATCAGCAAATGGTGGAGTTCCAGAAAACATAAATATGCTATTCTGCTCCTACTTAGCTTGTGTTTACGGTCTCTACGGGATACAGAGAACAGAAGGTGGATAACTAAACTCCTTGGAAAAGAACACCTCGTGCTTTATTTCTGTTTCCAACTCTGTTTTCTTGGTCAGTGCACATTAACAATGAAATGTATTAAGATATTACCTGAAGTGAATTGACCTCTATAGTCAAACCTACAAAGATACAAGAAGATTTTTCTTGTCTTCTGTCATGTTTACTTCATTTTGAACATTTTCGACGTTGCAGGGCTTTTTTTACCTGCACTGAAACAATCGGCCTTCCAGCCTGACAGCTTTTTAAGTATGGTGAGGGCTCACACTTAATTGAAACAGGGGCAACCACCATGTAAAGTAATCATTAGGGCTTCTGACATGGGCCTTTATGTATGTGTAAGGCAGCATTGCCCCCCCCCACCCCCACACACCCCGCCCCCACTTCTCTTACCAGACATGCACTGCTAAGCTGAAATTATTGCCCGCAGTGAAAATAATCTCTTCACTGCTTCTGCAAGACTCAGCACAAATGATGGATTGAAGTGAAAAGAGAAAGCATGCCAAAATTGGAGTGCATCTTGGCATTGCTGAGACCAGTCAGCGTACTCTTACAGTGTATTAATAAGGTTATCGACCAGTTAGCCTCTGCTTCTCTTTTTAAACGGCAGCAAGGGGGTAAATAACCTGCTGGATGCACAAAAATGTTTGACTCTTGGGGGGGGGGGGGCAAAGTCAGACAGCTTTCATGATACACGTGGTTATTTCTTCAGGATGGAATGACGAGTAGGAATGATATTTTCATACACATTAATTGAACATTTCTCTGTTTAATGCTATAACAGTCTGCGTGAAGAGCTTTTGGCAGAGCACTTCTCCTGTATGGCCTGATATTCCGCATGTTAGCACGAGACTGCATTAAAAATTGTCACAGAGATCAGGCATAGGATAGGTTGCATGGCTTTGTGTTCAAATATTTCAGTCTCTAACCAAGGCCAACCGGTCATCATAGTTATGATAGAAACATGACACCAGAGATGCTTCACTGAAAAGTGTCTTTTTGTTTTCCATTCTCTTTTGTTTGCACGGGTCAGTGTCAGGATTTGACTCCCTTTGCAGGCTCAGTGGACTGCCGCACGTCGGTCCACTCCTGCATGGTGCTCTGCAGTGCCTGGGTCTTCTCCTTGTCCACTTGCACATAGTCCACCTTCTCATCAGAGGTCACAGAGGATGTAGAGGGCTGCGGAAGGATAAATAAAGAAAGAAGTGAGATTCTGACGTCAGGGCAGACTACACTGTGGTCAAAACAGGAAGTTTTTTTTTTTTTTTACGGTTTCACTCGTGTGAAATCATCTGTATACTTTTCTGTGTGGGCTGGGTGACCCAGGCTGGAAGTCCAACGCTAGGTAGTCCACGTTGCCACATTTCCTAGGGGCCGGGCTGCTGGTGCCACTCACGGCTGGGGAGGTAGACGCTGGGTTCTGCTAATGGGGACAGGACAGGAGGTTTCACTCACACAGGGTGCAGTGAGAAGCTATAGCATGCAAACAAGTAGATCAAAAAAAAAGAAAAAAAGAAAAGAACATAATGTGCTCTCCTGATCTCCCCTCCAGCTATTGGGACTCACCATAGCTACATAATTCTCTTCACTGTCTGCAGAGTCAGTGCTGGTGATGCTTTGTGTAGAGATTGGTCGACAATGCTGAGAGGACATGGAGTTCATAGCAGGCCTGGAGGAAAAGCAGACAGGACTGTAAGTGCTGCTACACACACAGACGCAGGACAGGATTTATCTGTACCATCAGGCTGTGTGTGTGTGTGTGTGTGTGTGTGTGTGTGTGTGTGTGTGTGTGTGTGTGTGTGTGTGTGTGTGTGTGTGTGTGGCCTGGGTAACCTAGCTTAATATGAGACTCACATAGGTCGTGTCCAGGACATGGTGACTGGGCTCTTAAATGGCAGCTCATCAATGATCCCATT